CATGGCACGTGATTGTCGTTCAGAAAACATTGAGGAAGGAAATGTTGCAACTTCTCAAGTAGAAGAAACATGGGATGCAGAAGCTTTTTATGCTCAAGACCAAGAAGAGGTGGCATTTAACGCAACAGTAGAGAGTCGTGGCAACAAATTTGAAGAATGGATAGTAGATTCTGGATGTTCTAATTACATGACTGGAGAGCATGAAAAGTTGCAAGAATCCAGAAATTATGAAGGCAATAAAGTAGTAGTGATAACTGATAATTCAAATTTGTCGATTGCTCACATTGGCAATGTTGTGTTTTGCCCAGAAGACAATAACAGGGAACTAAAACTTGAAGGTGTGTACCATGTACCAGGTATGAAAAAGAATCTTCTTTCTGTCTCTCAACTTGCTTCTGCTGGCCACTATGTGTTGTTTGGCCCTGATGATGTGAAGATTTACAAAGAATTGGTGACTCCATCAAAGCTAATTCTAAAAGGACGAAGATCAGACTCAATTTATGTGATATCTGCCGAAACAACTTATGTAGAGAAGACAAAGAGGAATGAAAATGTGGATCTTTGGCACATGCGGTTGAGTCATGTTAGCTATGACAAGCTTGATTTGATGATCAAAAAGCAAATGGTGAAAGGTCTCCCTCAACTTGAAGTCAAAAAGGGTTTAGTGTCTGCCGGGTGTCAATTTGGAAAGGCTCATCAACAACCATTCGAACACTCAAAGTACAAGTCTAAGTTGCCTCTAGAACTTGTACATTCTGATGTATTTGGACCTGTTAAGAAACCGTCTATCAAAGGTTTGAAATACATGGTGACCTTTATAGATGATTATACAAGATATGTATGGGTGTATTTCATGAAGGAAAAGTCTGAAGTGTTCTCCAAGTTTCAAGAATTCAAGAATGAAGTTGAAAGAGAGACTGAGTATAATATTGGTTGCTTAAGATCAGATAATGGTGGGGAATATCTGACCTCTGAATTCAGTGATTTTCTTAAGGTACACAAGATCAAGCGTCAACTTACATGTCCAAACACTGCGCAACAGAATGGAGTATCCGAAAGAAAGAATAGACACCTGGGCGAGATCTGTAGAAGCATGATTCATGACAAGAATGTACCAGGTCAGTTTTGGGCAGAAGCTATGAAGACAACAACTTATGTGATTAACCGAATTCCTCAACAAAGTCTTGGTTATTTGTCTCCCTTTAAAAAGCTTAAGAGGTTGAAGCCAAATGTTAGTCATCTTCGTGTCTTTGGGTGTGTGTGTTATGTGTTCATACCCAACCATCTACGCAGCAAGATGGATAAGAAGGTTGTTCGGTGTATCTTTGTGGGTTATGACAAGGAAAGGAAGGGCTGGAAGTGTTGTGACCCTACCTCTGGTAGATGCTATGTATCAAGGAATGTGGTATTTGATGAAACTTCATCATGGTGGTCAACTGATCACAAAGTTCTTCCTGATTCTAAAACCCTAAGAGATGAAGTAGAATCCTCTAAAGTAAGAGTACACGTGAATAATGATGAAGTCATTATTGATAATGAAGATATCCAAGACAATGCTAACAATGAAATCAACAATGATAATGAGAACCATGAAGCCACAAGTTTCTGAAAGTCTACAAGACTTAGAAAACCTAATCCCAGATATGCCAACGCTGCTTTAGTAAAAGAAGATGTGTTTGAACCAGAAACTTATGATCAAGCTGCTACTAAACGAGAATGGGTTATAGCAATGGAAGAAGAAGTAGCTGCTTTAATGAGGAACCAGACGTCGGAACTAGTTCCAAAACCTATTGAAGTGAAACCTATCTCATGTAAATGGGTGTATAAAGTGAAACGTAATGCAGATGGGTCAGTCGAAAGATTTAAGGCCCGTTTGGTAATTCGTGGCTTCTCACAGCAATATAGGCTGGACTACGAGGACACTTTTAGCCCAGTGGCGAAGTTAACTACAATGAGGGTTTTGTTGGCTTTGGCAGCTAGCAAGGGATGGAAACTTTGGAAAATGGATGTAAGTAATGCATTCCTATATGGAAACTTGGATCATGTCATTCACATGGAACAAGCCCTTGGATTCAAAAGAAAACAACATCCTAATTATGTATGTAAGCTCAAGAAGGCGTTGTACGGGCTTAAACAGTCTCCAAGGGCGTGGTTTGGGAAAATTGGTGAATTTCTTGAACACAATGGATACACAAGTACATCTGCAGATGCTAGCCTGTTTGTGAAGAAATTTGGAAGCAAAGTAGTGATGGTGCTTGTATATGTCGATGACTTAATAATTACAGGTGATTTGGATGACATGATAGCTCAGCTCAAACAGAACTTGTGCACTCGGTTCTTCATGAAGGACCTAGGGAAATTGAAACACTTTCTGGGGGTTAGAAATCAACTATGATGATGATGGTTTAATTCTGCACCAACATAAGTACTGTCCTGATCTATTAAAGAGGTTTAAAATGGTTGATTGCAAGGGAGCTGTAACACCCATGGATAACAATGCTAAGTTGTGTGCTAACATGGGTAAGGAGTTAGATGATGCAACAATGTATAGAAAGTTGGTGGGTAGTCTTATATATCTCACTTTAACGAGACCATACATTGCATTTGTAGTTGGTGTTTTAAGTCGTTACATGCAGAGTCCAAGAAACCCCCACCTTGGGGCTGCTAGAAGGGTATTAAGGTATATTAAGACTACTCTCAATTATGGAATCCAGTTTAAGAGGGAATCTGAATGTAAGCTGATGGGATTTTGTGATGCTGATTATGCTGGTGATTTGAACACTCGAAGGTCAACTACAGGTTATATCTTCATGCTTGGATCCAGTATAGTATCTTGGTGTAGCAAGCGTCAACCCACAGTCTCTCTTTCCACGACTGAAGCCGAATATAGAGCTGCTGCAGTAGCATCTCAGGAATGTGTGTGGCTTGTGCAACTTTTAAAGGATTTGAACCAAGAAGTTAACTATAGTATTCCGCTGCTTTGTGACAATATGTCTTCAATCAAGCTTGCTTAGAATCCTACTTTTCATGCACGTACCAAGCACATTGAAGTTCATTATCATTTTATCAGAGAAAAGGTCTTAAAAGGGGAAATTGACCTTAAATATGTAAACACTGTTGATCAGGTTGCAGACCTGCTCACAAAGAGTTTATCAAGTGCAAAACTGGTTGAGTTTGGCGACAAGATGGGTATGGTAGAAGTTGATGTTGAGAGGGAATGTTAAAAGAGAACAATATCAACTAGGTCAACCAGTCACGTGCAAGCCTTCTGTTATTCTTCAGTTATTTTATTTATGTTTTAGTAATTGCCTTGTTGAATTAGTCAAGCTAGTGGGTAGTTTGTTTTCATAGCCTTATTCCTGTTTTCTAGGTAGCAGCAGTTTTCTTTTTCAGTTTTACTTCTGTTTTTATGCTATGTAGCTTTCGTCACTTTTGATATATGCAGAAAAACACTTTTGTGTGTCAATTACTCTTTCTTCCAAAACTTGCTCTGCTTGAAACCTATTGTATCAAAAGGTGTTTTGTCTTTGCTAAAAGCTAACAGTATATGTAAAAAACGATTAAATGAAATTAAAATGGGATAGATGACCGTAATAAATCTACATTGGGTTTGTAACAGAGAAAACCAAATCCGTAAAAAAAAGGGAAAATGACTATGAAGGTAACCAACTATTTCTATTGTTCATATATAGGTAATGTTCTTTTTTTTTTGTTCTCATTAATGAAACCAAATTTTTATTTATGTTCATATTTAGGTAATATAATCGGCTATCACCTGTTTTTGTTTATGTGGCAGCCACCTAGCACATGACTTGAATACGTTGCGCCTACGTGGCATTGTGCATATATTCTCTTCGTTTACAGTATAAGAAGTCATACGATTACACCCCTGATTTTGAACCCTAGATCGACGGTGACTTCTTCCTATTCTTATTCTTCAAAACGGCAAGATGGATTTCAAGCTGATCATTCATGTGATTGCAACTTACCATCTCGTGTGAAGACTTCAAGAACCCTGACAACCCTGGAAGAAAATTTAGAGTTTGTCAAAACTCAATGGTAATCAGTATTGTTGAATACGTTGCAACTTTCTTCTTCTTCATCTTGTTGAATACCATTTCTTCTTCTCCATCCTTTAATTTAACATTTTTTTAATTTTTCTTCAAAAAATGGAAAAAGTCCAAGCTGTAAATTCTGGCATTGGCTGGATGAGGATGAAGGGAGGACAGATGGAAGAAAGCGTTACAGGAGGAAACCAGAAGAAAGCTGTAATCTAACCTTGAAAATTTGCACTTTGGAGAATGAAATCAACATATGTAGGATGAAGATCAAACAAGAAAACAACATTAATTTGGTTACTAGACAAGAATTGGACAAAGTTAAGTGGAAGTTGTTTACTCACAAAGTGGCACTGATTTTGTTATTTGTATTGTATGTGAAAATGTTGATTTGATTGTAGTTCATGATGTATTGGTTGAATGATGTAGTTCATGAATGAAACTTGATTGGTATTAGAATGATGTAGTCCACCTGTTTTTGTGTATGCTTATGTATGTAATGAATGGATGGAACTTTTGTTACATGTTTTTGCTTCTGATGTTTTTGTTACTTTTATTAGAATGGAAAAGAATATAACACTGGAATGGTATACAATAAAACATTGGAATGTAATATAATCAAACATGGGAATGTAATATAATCAAACATTGGAATGTAATATAATCAAACATTGGATTCCCAGGAAACATTGTTTACAAAACATTGGAATTTAACATAATTACATATGCATTACTGCCAAAAGGTACACACAAGATTCCAAAACTTACACATATGACTAGACACAAGTCCAAAAGTTACACATATTACTAGATAAAAGATTCCCAGGAAATGATGCCAAAAAATAACAAAGTGTCAAATTCTATTCCAATTCCATTGGATTTCCACCACTACTCCCCTGTTTCCCCTCCCACTTTTTCTTATCTGAATTTTTGTGATTCTTTCTAAAGGTTTCCTTCTTCTCTTTCCCTGTAGAACTTGAAATGCTGGTACTTCTTGCATATGCTCATCTTCCACTGGATCTTGAAGTCCAACCTGTCCTTGGTCATCTTATCCAACTGGATCTTGAAGTACAACAAGTTCTTCACCTTCTTGATCTTCACCCCATCCTTGAACTTCAACTTCAACTTGATCTACAACTGCAACCTGGTATTCACCTTCTTCAACTTCAACTTCAACAAGTGCTTCAACCTGTGGTTCAACTTCAACCTGTTCTTCAACCCCTCAAACTTTAATTTGTCCTTCAACTTCAGCTTGGTCTACATCTTCGTATGTATCATTACCCTCTTCAAAATAAACTTCATAAGACTCCACCTCACTATCAGGCTCCCTTTGAACTTCACTATCACTATCACTTTCCACGTCAACTTCTTGAACCAATTCAACCTTCACTTTACCTGTTATAAAATAATTCAAATGTTAGAACTAGAAACTGTTATATTGTAATCAAAAGGTAAAGGAGGAGAAATACCTTCTTTTTGGCTTTTTTATTTGTTGACTTTGGCTTTGGATTTGAATTTGGCTTTGGATTAGATGATTCCCCGATTGGGTTTTGAGGACACTTTGCTTTATTATGCCCTATTTCTCTACATATGTTGCATCTCATAACAATACCCCTTTTTGACATTGTATGCTTATTGCCCTTTACTTCACTCTCAATCTGATCCCTTTTCCTTTTTGTTGATGGTCTTCCTGGCATCCTTCTCTTTTTGGGAGGCAATGGCTTGATGTAATACATACCAGGACACATATCACTACCATTTAGTGGCTTAATGGTGTACATGCAGGCATTACAAAACATTGTTGTGGTCAACCATGGTAATACATAGTCCTCTAGATCCATATTGAGGTTTGAAATGGCAGCATATGCATGCACGCAAGGGTAACCAATTAATTGCCAACCTCTACATCCACATGTCTTCTTACCAAGGTCTACAACATATGCATCATGTAAAAGTCTCACTTCAAATTGTTGATAACCAGATGGTACAACTCTCCAAAATCTGTCCACACACACTTAAATGTAGGTATACACAATTAAATTTCACACACACACACACACACACACACACACACACACATATATATATATATATATATATATATATATATATATATATATATATATAAGGTATTCAACCACTAACCTTTGAAGTTCCTTAATCTTGGATAATTGCAGTCTAATGGTAGGACATATGTTTAAGTCTCCTTAAGAACTTCCCTTACTTTTTTGTCTACAAAGTCTCTCCATCACATACATTATAATTTCCTCTAACATAGTGATTAGAGGTCTCAACCTGGCAGCTCCAATGAGTGAGTTAAAACTCTCAGATACACCATTTTCATATGCATTATATTCCCTACAGTCCGAAAGAATGCTTTACTCCAAGTTTTAGGGTCCCTCTCCATTAGATGATCATAGGCAAGTGGTTCTATCTTCTTGATTTGATTCATACGCTGCTCAAATTTAGCCTGGGTAGTAGAAGCAACAACATACCAAAAAATTTTACTGAACTGTTGACCTTTGAATTTTTTCATGAAGTTAGCACATATGTGTCTGGTACATTGTGTATGCTCTGCTGCATGCACCCTTTCTTTGACAGCCTCAAGTAATCCCTGTTAGCATTACAAACAAAACATAAACTTCATATAAATTAAGTATTAAATAAAGAGAACATATAAAATCATTACTTTGTGTTGGTTTGATATTAATGTCAACCCATGTCCATTCCCCATTCCAATGTCATCAAAGAGTATAAGTAGCTTCAACAAACTCCCAATAATCAGTATCACTGTCGATTCTTATAATACCCTCACCCAATGTAACACCGAAATTTCAAAACAATTTTTAATTTTTAATTTAATAAAAATACTCCAATCATAATTCTCGAAAACATGTATCAATTGTTTTTACATAACATAAGTGCAAATCAAAATCCCCAAAATCTCAAAACATCTCCACCATAAGTGTGTACTGCTCATGTCGGCGCCTTCCCGCGATCATCACTCGTACCTGAAACACATAACACGAAAACGGTAAGCAAAATAATGCTTAGTGAGTTCCTCAAAATACCACGTACAACACATACGCCTTTCTAGGCCATAACTCTATGGGATCTTTCGATCCAAGTGTTTCAAGGGATTCCCATCCCATAACTCTGTTGACCTTCCGGTCCATGCTCTGTTGACCTTCCGGTCCATACAATCATATTCATATCATAACATATTACATATACAACATGCATCACATTTTTATCATACACATAAGACCTTCCAGTCACACATAATCACCCCATCGGGTAAGGCATAGTGAGAAGACTCACCTCGAAGATGTTGGAGAATCACTCGCGCTCAATCCTCTGACCTAGCTTCCTCCTATAGCATAATTACATCTCCAACTAATACCTTCCTAACTTAATTTGAATAATACCCTTAAGTCAACACAAGTTAACTCTGGTCAACGTTGGTCAATGGCCACCCCTTGACCCAACTTGTCGAGTCAGGCACTGACTCGGCGAGTTCAAACGTGAATTCCATTCCCCTAAATCCCAACTGACTAATCGAGTCTTTCCCCCAACTTAGCGAGTCACCAACTGTGTGAGTCACGGGACAACCCGCTCCGACTCGTCGAGTCTGCTCATGCACTCGGCGAGTTCATTCCATGCTCGAACTCAAATGGCCTTCTGAGGTCAGATCTGTTTCTCTAATCTATAGATCTGACCTTCCCAAACATGATAATCATGTAAAGGTCACATCTTGCCACCCATGCAACGCCTACAAGGCTTTTTTTTTTGGTGAAATGACCTCTAAAATGGTAGCCCAATTCCACAACCCAAAAGGAAAGGCATAAAGCAGAGCATTTGGGACTCTTTGGACCTTCTAAGGTCCAGATCTAGGTACCAATTCACCATGGGATCTCTCACACTCCAAATACAAAGTAATCAAGGCATAAAGAAACCCTAGATTTGACTTTATCAATAAAAACACGAGAATAAGCTCTAAATAATACCTCAAATAGCTTCCTCTGCCCAAATAAAAGTAGATCCAAGCTCCCCAACTCTCCTAGCTTGACCTTCCTCTTTCCTTCTTGCTAACACACATAAGGATGATGAGCAATGGCCTCTTTTCTCACTCACAAGGACTCTCAGATGCTCTGGTGCTCTCAAGGATGAAGGTAGCCGCATTGAAGGGCTATAAGGTCCTTTGAATAGGGCTCAGACCTGGGAAATTAGGGTTTTAGTCGCCAGCACAGACTCGTCGAGTCCCCTCACCGACTTGTCGAGTCCACTCATTAATCCAGTCATCACCATGCGACCTTACTCAACGAGTCTAGGCATCAACTCGTCGAGTCTCTCTCTCTTAGACTCCAAAAAAAAATGATAAAAATAATACCTGAAATCCCGAACGTTACACCCAAGGTTTCCTTTCTACTATAGTAGTTGTGACATCCCCAAAATCACGGCCAGAAAAGACCGGTTTCATTTATGCTTTTAAAATAATTTCAGAGTAAATCCATTGATTTAAAAGAGTTGCGGAATTTGTTCCGAAAACAAAATATGATAAAATAAAGTTTATCAAAGCATTTCATCAAGAGGTGCTTTTTCATTTTATAACAATATTTGGGATGTCATGTTCTGATACAAACCAAAAAGCATAAACGACATATTACAAGCCATACAACAGTTATACACATATGCAAGCTCATAAACAAAACAACTTGATGATTCATCCATCTTATGCCCTCACGCCACATCCTGCAATACAAATAAGACTGAGTGGGTCAGACATGGGAGCCTGGTGAGCATATAGGTTTTTCAACCCACAACAAATAATTATATTTAATTTCATCAACCAACAATAACCTAATTACCCATTCCCGTTATCCTCACTTTACGTCCCTAAAACAACATCTATTACAAGGGACCTAATCTAGGATTTTCATCGGGACAGACATTACTGCAAGGGATTTCCTCAGCAATAGATGTCCTAAAGGCAACCATGAGGGGATAGCGTACACCGGTGAACACATCGTTCACAACACCTACAGGTTATGAACCTGCTAGTGCTCCACAGGACTGTCTATAAAGAGTCCGTGGCCGTCATCCATACTCCGCTAGATGACTAGGTCAACATCAACAACATCGAGGCCTCTCATCTATTTAACACACATCAACTATCTAACCATGTTCTACCCAACATATTAGTAGATAAAAATATATATTTTTATACATAGTTTAAAACCTATATACCATTCTCATTCAATACATATTCCAATCAACAGATGAGACAAATACACATAACACGTATTTCATAGAGAATAAATCATATCTATGAAATAGAAGAAAGTGAATATACATTCACACATATAACAACAAAATATACACATAACACGTATTTTGTATAAAATACTTCATAATTATGCGTTAAAAGAAGGTAACTACACACTCACTTGATCAGAAGATGATCGGACAACACTACGACTTGTAGAAGTAGTATTCTTCAGTAGATCTGGAAGATCTTCACAAAAACCGGGCTTCTCGTGGGTAGAGCTTCGGCTCGGAAACTCTTTTCTTCTCGGGATCTTCGGGCTTCGGGACTCGCTTCGGGTCTCGAGATGATACCGGGGCTTCGTGGGGTTAGAATAGGGCTTAGAGAGAGCATCGGGAGTGGGAGAGTAAGGGAGTTGCAACCTAAATTGGCTGATCCTTGATTTCTATTTATAGGGTGAGTTTTCTGGGTTCACCTCATGAGTTTCTAATATTCACCTCGTGAGCTAGGCTCACCTCGTGAGCTCGATACGTCATTGCGTTCATCATGGCCACTTTCCATGGAAGACGTCCATCATATGATCACCTCGCGAGCCACTAATGCTCACATCGTGAGCTAGGCTCACCTCGTGAACTACATATGTTCACATCGTGAGCTCTGACATAGCCTTGGGGTTCATGCCCTGAACTTTAGAAATTCATAACTTTTGCATACGAGCTCCGTTTTCGACGCTCTTTATATCCATGCATTGGTGAGATAATTCTCTACAACTCTTATTTAGATTCCATTGGATAATTTTGACTTTATTTTTAATATATTATAAATGTATTATATTTAGTAGGCCGGGACAGGAAAACTCCGTTTTAAACTCATAACTTCTTCATCTGAACTCTGTTTTCGTCTGTCTTTTTACCGTTGCACTACCATTGACGAGATCTTTGATTCTCATTTAGATTATTTTGGCTAAAAACCGCTTGATCTCAAATCGAGTATTTGGACTGCACATTGCTAAGCCGAAACTTCGAGAAATAATAACTTCCTGATACGAAGTCAGATTTGGGTATTCTTTTCATGCACACTCTCGGTTTAACGAACTCTACGACTTTAGTTTAGAATAATAGGGCTAAATATCGCTCTATCTTAATTTCGTATTTTACGTCATTCAGCGTCGTGTCGGTTTTGTCGCGAAACTTCGAGAGGTCATAACTTGTTCGTTGTAACTCGGATTTCGACATTCTTTATATGTTTGGAAACCTCGTTTCTACTACTACAACATTATCCATATCTATATCTATATATATATATGTATATATATATATATATATATATATATATATATCGGCTTTATGTAACATTTTATTTTGTTTTCATTCTTAATTTAATTAAGTCACAAAACTAAGCACAAAACACATAATACTCAAATAATACATCTTTATTATTTCAAGATGGGTTACAAAGGTTAACCTAGACAATTACATCGCTATTAATGACAAGCCCAGAAACACGGGCGTTACAATTCTCTCCACCTTAGAATGATTCGGTCCCCGGAATCACACATCAACAAACAAATGCGGATAGCGACTCATCATGTCACTCTCCGTCTCCCAGGTGAGATTTGGCCCATTCGTATGTTTCCAACGGACAAGCACTAACTTGACCATCTTGCGTCGTAACTTCTTAGTCTTTTGGTAAATGATTACTTCCAGTTTTTCAATTAACCTCTTATTTTCATCAATTCTAAACTGCGAAAGTGGAATCATGTAGGGAACTTCTCCCGTGAACTTCCTCAAATATCACACTTGGAAAGTGTTATGAATTCCATTAAGTTCTTCGGGTAATTCGAGCTTGTAAGCTTGGTTCCCAATCCTTTGAAGAACTTTAAATGGTCTAATAAACCTTGGACTTAACTTTCCCCTTTTACCAAATCTTATAAGTCCCTTCCACGATGAGACTTTGAGTAAAACCGAATCTCCAACTTCAAAAGTCATCGGTCTTCTTTTATTGTCAGCATAGCTCTTTTGACGATCTTGAGCTGCTAACATTCTTTCCCTGATTATTTTCAGCTTTTTAGCGGTTTGATAAATCATCTCGGGTCCTACAAACTACTTTTCTCCAGCTTCAAGCCAACAAGACGGCATACGAAACTTCTGTCAGTACAGAGCTTGATAAGGTGCCATCTTTATGCTCGAGTGGAAACTATTATTGTAGGAAAATTCTACGAAAGGCAAATGTTCATCCCAGTTGCCTTGGAATTCCAGGGTACATGCTCTCATCATATCTTCAAACGTTTGTATCGTTCGTTCGCTCTAACCATCAATTTGTGGATGCTAAGCTGTACTCAAACACAACTTGGTACCCAATTCCTCTTGTAGACTTTTCCAAAATCTTGAGATAAAACGACGGTCACGATCTGTCACACCCCAAAACCATGAATGGCGAAAACATTCTGGGGCGGAGGACATCATGTA